TCTTAATGAAATAGTAGTATTCAGTTTCTGTTAAAAGTTACATTTCTTTATCATAAACCATGTATAATTCTAGCTATACACATTGCACTATAGTTGATCAGCATCTATTATTTTACATAGAGTGGACATGTATATATTTCACTTTCTTTTTTCTATCTTGGCATATTAGTATATATATATATATATTTAATAAATGTCTGTTGAAAATAATGATACTGAACTACTTAACATTTAATGTGTTTTCATCTTGTTTTCTACAAATTCCAATTCTGAAAATATAATCACAGGATAGCAGAAATAAACTCTCACATAAATTTAAACTTAATCAGTGTTGTAACTTTTAAAGTAATACACATTATAAATGGAAAATTGACTCCTAAGTACAAGTTACAGAGTAGTAAACTAGATCAATAAACTAATAATTAGATTTGGGTCTCAGGTGGATTAAGAAGGTTCTCTTGCTTTCTGGTTTTGCATTTTCTCTCTGTTACAAAGCTATTGCTATAAAAACATTTCAGAAACTGGACCATTTTTCTATGTTAAAGCTTTCATGCTACCTGATTCTCTTTTTAATGGTAATTTTAATTGTTCTATTTCAAGTGGTAATTCTAGCAGTTCTAAGGGGATTTCTACGCCATTAAGGAGTTACAGTTCTTTACCGTGTCCGGAAGGGTAGCTTTGGCACCAGTAATCATCCTTCTGGTATTCTTTGCTCTCAGTAGGATACACCTGACATCACCAAGGCCTTCACTGTGACCCATGTCCTCCTTCTGAATCTGGTCTGAAACTCTGGCAACTCCCTGTTAGTCCATTGCTGCAACCGCTGTTGGATGATCTTAAGCAAAATCTTACTTGAATGTGATAATAAAGATATTGTTCTATAATGTGCACATTCTGTTGGTCACCTTGCTTTGGAATGGGTACACATAGGTATCTTGTCCAGGCATTTGGCCAAGTAGCTGTCTTCTGAATTTCCTGGCATACACAAGTGCATGCTATCACCTTGTTGAAACAGTTCCATGGCATTCCATCAATTCCTAGAGCCTTGTTTTTTATTTTTGGCTAATGCCAAAAGTGAAGCTTGGACCTATTACTGCAATATCATTGTTTCTTGCTCATCTGTTACCTACTGAAATGGTGGAAAGGCTATTAATACTTTTTGGTACAGTGACTCTATTTTTCCATCTTTTCCCCCAACTTTCCTCTAGTTCTTTAATGCCCCCCACCCCACTATCATGACCCCAAATCTGCCTTACAAGTCTGGCTAGACCAGAGCATGTACATGGGTACAGATAAGTGCTGGAAACACAGGGAATCCGGGACAGATAAACTCCTCCGGACCAATATTGATAGTAGGGATACCAGGAGGGGAAGGTGAAGGTGAAGGTGGTGATAGAATCGGGGAACCAATTGCAAAGATCTATCTATAACCCCCTCCCAGGGGGATGGACAACAGAAAAGTGGGTGAAGGGAGACATTGATCAATGTAAGACTTGAAAAAATAATAATTTATAAATTATCAAGGGTTCATGGAGGAGGAGTGGGGAGAACATTAAAAAAATGAGAAACTGACACCAAGGGCTCAAGTAGAAAGAAACTGTTTTGAAAATGATGATGACAACAAATGTACAAATGTGCTTGATACAATGGATAAATGGATGGATGGATTGTGATGAGTTGTACAATCCGCCAATAAAATGATTTATATGGTTTTTTATCCTCTTTTGATAATTCCCATATCATTCAATGTTTGGTGTATAGAATCTTAAAACACTGCAACTGAACACACGAGGCTTGATGTTTTTGTTTGTTTTAATCCTTTCAGTTTAAAATGTGCTGAGCATGTTCTTTTTGTTTTTTTAACTCTAGGTTTTGGAACCTCCCATAATATCATTTTATTTTGTGTTCTCAATCTGCCCTTTGAAACTGTCTGCTCATCTCTGATTTTATAATTTCTTACGTTTGCAGTAGCTTCTCTATGATTAAGAACAAGTTTCAAAGTCTCTTCAGACATTCACTTTGATCTCCTTTTTCTTCATGTCTTTTAAAAGACATTTTACTCTCTTCATGGATGATGTTCCTGATGGATCAGGTCTTTAGTGTTCAATGCGGAAAATCTGTTCTTGAGATATTCAGGTGTGTCTTACTCAAGGTTGTATTTTGGCTCTTGTGGGCTTGTTTTGACTTTCTTCAACTTTAACCTGACTTCACAAATAAGCAATTGGTACTTGTTCCACTGTCAGTCGCTGGCCTGGTTTTAGCTGCTGATATTGATCATCTCCATTTCCTCTCTCTACAGATGTTGACACTTTGATTTCTGTGTATTCAATCTGGGGAAATCCACATAATTCATTTGCTGTTTGTGATGTTGAATAAAGGTATTTGGGATGAAGACGCCATTGGTTTTGCAAAATTCTTTCATTTGATATCCAGCTTCATTTCTGTCACCATGACCATCTTTCCCAACTACTTTTCCTCCCTATTTGTTTCCCACGTTTGCCTTTCAATAATTATCAATGAATCTTGATTGCATATTTGATCAATATTGGACTGAAGACTTTGGTAGAATTCTTCAATTGCACCATCACCCACTTTAGCACTTGGTGCATAAATTTCACAATAGTTATATTGGTTGTATTTTCTTGAGTGTAAATAAATGAAATTCTATCACAGAAAGCATGCAATTCAAGATAGATCTTAAAATGTCCTTTTTGATGATGAATCCTATGCAATTTCTTTTGATTTTGTCATTCCCAAATGGTAAGCCACATATTTTTCTGACTCACAGTCCATTTCAACTCACTGACACCCAGAATGTGATCTTTATCTGTGGTCGATGGGGGTGCCAGCCCTCCCCCACTAATCACAGGTTCAGTAGGCACAATTGTACGGTTGAGATATATAAATATTATATTAAAGTCATCGAGAGCATGAGAGATAGAAGAGAGAGATTGAAATAATGGAGTCAGACACATTTCATGGTAGCAATACTCACCTCAGCCCCCTTGGTGGTCCACGTGGAGAGGGGGAAGGGAACAGGGGAGAAGAGGGAGCCAAAGAGAGGTCAAGGTAAGTTCTAAGAGAGCTCTATTGCTAACCCAGGCTTATATACCTTTGGGAGTATACAAGCCCCCTAATTACAGGTAAAGACATACGTCACAGGAAGGGGTTGCGCTATAGGTTATACAGCAATGAGAGGGGGACAATCTAGGGGTATACATGCAATAGGAAGAGGAGGGATTGGGGGTATGCATGTGACAAGATGGGCAGACCCTAAAGTCAGGATGGCAGCTAACTTTGGATGTTTGATCTTTCTCTGGATCTCCATAGGAACTATTATCAGTATGGTGTAAACCCCATCTACAGTAACCAAGCCTTAGCCCATTGTCCCCAGCAGCTGGGAGTAGCCCCAACCGGAGGTGGGGCGAGACAACAGCCTGGCAGCTGATTGCCTCCAGGGAAATAACTTTTATCATTAGCTGCAAGCAGTGTCCTCAGTCTAACATATTTGGGGGAAACGGCTTGGGAGAAATCTTTCTGTTTCCCACATTTATCCATTCCATTTCTTTTTTGATGACATAATATTCCTAGATTCATATTTTGCACATTCCAAGTTAGCTGACTTTGCAGCAGTTTGTTCTTGCCTTGAATTGTGCTCTCACTAGAAAATGAAGATCCCATAGGCGTTACGCCCACAGGCTTTAGTCAGTTCAACTCACTGTGGTCAACTCTACTTGGTGAAAGCAGCTCTTCTTCCTCAGTCACATTCAAATGCTTCCCGCCTGAGGGGCCATCCTCTGGCACTGTCTTTGACAGGGCTCTGCTTCTCTTCATTAGGCCAGGCCTTCAGTATCTTACAGTGCTTCCATGCCGTGCATAGGTTTTCATCAGCGAAGTCTTTCCAAATGGGCAGTCTGTTCCTTCTTAGTATTCTGTGCTTACTCTAGAAGCTCTGCTGAAACCTGTTCACTTTGGGCGAGCTTGCTGGCCTTTCAAATAACAAGTGACGTAGCTTCAGGTCTCCCAGCACCATGCAAGCCACCACCGCATGACAAACTGACAGACAAGAGGTGGGCAAATTGACTATAACTGTAGTTAATTCAGGCAATGAATGTGCAAATGTGCTTTACACAATTGATGTTTGTATGGATTGTGATAAGAGCTGTATGAGCCCCTAATAAAACGATTAAAAAAAAAAAACCAAAACACTGGTCAATTCATGAGAAGAAAAATAAAATGGAAATGAATATAAGAAGATTAGTTTTTTACAGTGCATGGAACTATAAAGTTATAGATTATAGGAATTTTAAACATTGCCAGTCATGATATGTATCCCTATTTTCCCCTCTGTAACACCATGCACATCTATAATTTATATTTATGGCATATTTTGGCAATATTGATAACTAGCTGACTTGCCCAAGTATAGTTTTTCTTGCTATTGGTCTTGGAATATGTGATCATGAGTATGTTGGATAATCTGATCTTTTTATTTTCCCAAATTCACCCTCCTAATCTCTTATCTCTATATACACTCATTTCTTCAAGAATAATTTCAACAATGGGAAATATGTATATTTATATTTAAATCATGATTTTCATGAACTCCTAGTTAATTGGCCAGCATACACACTCATTGCATTATCCTATATGTAAATTATTTAATAGCTTAGATAATTTTATTACTTATGTACAGTGTGCCTTCATACCTTTTTTTCCCTTGAAAAAAATATTCTCAGACTATAAAAATATTCTCAGAAAAAAATATTGTCACCCAGTGTAAGATATACTTTTCTAATATTTCACTTAATGTTTTATGAAAAAATGCATATTAGTATGCCTGTGTAGATATTTGTAGAAACTTATAAGAGTAAATGCAAAAAAATTGTAAAAATAAGATTAGCAAGGGTTGATTAGTTTCAAATAGCTAAAATATGTTAAACATTTAAAAATCTTTTTACTCAGTTGAATTAAGCACTTTTTGTCTCCTTTCTTTATAGAGCAATGAAGTTGTCTACTACAACGCAAAAGATGACCTTGATGTGAGTATTGAAAGTTTTACATTAAATTCCAACATCAGCCTGGTAGTTAGAGGTAGGTTGGTTTTATAGAACCAAATGAGCTAGAAAAAAATTAGTGTTTTTTTTAATAGAAAGACTTAATTACATAAGAACTAAAAAGGCAGAACACGTGATTCATGATTTAAAAAAATTTTTTTTTGCTGGTGTGGTTTTTTAACAATTTAATTATTGCTATCTTCCTAAGAAGGAATACCCTGCATTTCTTTGCCTCCGAGCCATCACTTGCTTAGATAATGTCAGAAATGTTAAAGATCGCTGGAGATTGGATCCCCTCCTCATTTGCCACCTGGCTCCTGTGACCAGTTTCACTACATATATCTGCACAACCAGAGAGGAACATTAATTTCATAGGTTATGTGAATGATTTGAAAGCGCTACAGCTTTTACTACCTGACAACCCTTTGAGACATAGTAGTTGCTGAATATGCTTTGTAAATGAATGAATCTTATGTCCGTCTAAAATTGTGTTAGGATATGGCTTATTTAGCTGTAGTTCCAAGATTACTAAATTTCTATAAACAACGGAGTGATGTTTGGATTACAGTAAAATCTATGGAATTCAGAGCGTGTGTAAGACAGACACCTGTCAGAGAAGAAAAATGCTGGTCTTTTCTTCCATCAGGAGACCAGTAGTAAGTGTGAAACTGAGCCCTGCCAGAGGTAAACCAGTGCAGAGATCCAGGAAAGCGAGGCAGTCCCGTAGAGTTTTGCTCACATAGATCTCACAGACTTAGTTAGGAGAGAGAGATTTGCATAATTGTAAGATGAAGATTGAGCTTATTACTTAAAAAAAGAAAAAAAAAAGAAAAAAATACCCCCGAAACAAAACTAAAGCACATTTTTATATAGTTGACCTTGTTTGGAATCTGCAAATCTAATGTGATTTGTTACCCACACGTTGTTGAAGCGCCTCTAAAAATAACTGTTCCTATTCCATTTTATAGGTTATCCTTGCAGATATTTAACACACACACACACACACACACACACACACAGGTGAAAAGAAAAAAAATGCAAAAAACAAGTAGTGCCAAAGGTGGGAGAAAAAAACAATTAGTGAATTTGTCTTAAATATCACAGCTCCCTAGATTAGTATTAATATTACTTCCTCTGTTTCTAAATAGTATATTGACCACTAACTGCCTGTACTCTAAGCACTTTACACTCATAGCTTTATTTCACCAATAAAAGGAACACTGTGAGGTAGGCTTTGTTGTTTCCAATCCCTAGATTAAAAATATATATATATTTTCCTTCCTCGTCAAAAGTGCTTTTGCCAAACCAATTCCTCTTAGGATGAGTGTATGCATAAGTTAAATGATGTAGGAAAGCCTCTTATGGATAAACTCCAACCACACACAAAAAGTTGATAGTTTATTAAGTAGTATTAGATGAATATTTTGCAGAAGAGACTATTGAGACTCACTATTAGAATTAATATTAAAAAATCACACGGTAATGTTAAGAATACTTGTTAAAGGTTCCACCAATATACCAACAAAAGCCCATTACTCTCGCTCTCTCTTACAAGTATGTTAGCCTTTGGCTCAATTTTTCAAGTTTTTTTAAAGTCCCCAATAACATTTATCTATGTCCTCGATGTGCTGCTAAGTGATCAAACTATGACAGTCGTTTCTTATCTTGTGAAATAGTTGTTTAACTTTTTTCTGTTTTGAGTTGATGTAACACCATTCAATTAGTTCTTCCTCTACATTAGACATTTCTTTTTTTTAACTTATCTAACTAACAATGTAATAAACATATCTGTGCTAGACTATTTTTCTAATTCTGATTTATATTTAGGATAATAACAGTTTAAATTGATATTTATATAAATACAAAATTATTGCAAATCTCACCCTAGGTATGAAATATAAAATGAATTTATCAAATATAGCCAGACTTTCTGGATTTGGAATATATCATGTATAGTTTTTGAGAATTGGTAAAGAACTTTAAAATAATTCCTATATGTCACTAATTTTTTTAATCAGGGAAACTGGAAAATGCTTTAGTTATTATTATACTTTTGCTCTTATAAGGCTTGAGACATTCAACGAAAATGAAACATGTCTTCATTAGTGTGTTAAGTTGGCCTTTACCGTAGTAAAAGTGGTCAAAACAAGATCAGAATTGTTTTGTCTCTCATGCAACATTCTGTGTAGGACTGATATGGGAACTCGGTTATCCAGGACACGAATACTTTCCTCAGCACAGTTTTTCCATGTTTTGGCCTATGGTTGGCAGTCCAGCATTCCCCATGGTTTTGCATTTTAAGCAACAGGAAAGAGGCAGGGGCAGTAGAGTACTTTCCTTTACAGTCGTGTCCTTTACAGTCGTGTCCCAGAAGTTGGCACCCATCATTTTCTTGGCACCTGTTCGCTACAAGTAAGTGAAGCAACTGAGTGGTATTTTCCCCTTCCTAGACAGGTACACAGCGGGATTCCACTACTAAAAAGAATTGGCAAAAATATTAATTGGGAAATAGTCGGTAATTTCTGCACGTGTCTTCAGTTTGCTCTTACAACATGTTAAAACTAGCAGTAACACTCCACCTACTCTTCTGAGTGGTGTCTTTTATTTAATTGTAGTCAAATTCAGAAGTTCAAAGCAAAAGGAAAAAATCCTTTATTGTAGTAAAACTGTTATTTAATCATATGCTGCACTGAGCATTATTTAGACTATCTGAACCATATTTTTAAATTCCTACTCACATTATTTTGGACAGTAGAAATATTTACTGTTTTACAATCAGAGAAGCCTAGGATTTATAAGTAAATTTTGCACTTTGATATTTTAATTTAGGGTTTTCAGTGGTTACATGTTTGTTTGTTTTTTAATTTGTGACTATCTGATAAAATTGGATTTTGACCACTAATGAACTTCACTCATCTTCACCTAAGACCAGCTTTATACCTGGATGTCATTGACTGCTATACCCACAACTGTATACCTAGAGTACTTGATATGTTTTTATATGCCACGTTTGCAAATGACAGTCATGCCATCTCATTGCATGGTGGAACTGGCGCATCATCAGTGTCCTTTCCCTGGGTTTTCTAAATTAATTTAGCCTGGTATTTTAATTTTTGAAACCCACAAAGCAATATTTAGTACTAAAAGCTGAGTATATAGCGAGTGTATAATATGATTTTACCTTTTAATTGACCAAAATCTAATATCTAATGTAGTAAATAGCACTCATAGCATTAGCTATGAAGACATTACCAACTATTTTGTCTCAATATCTTTGAATAGTAATATTCCAGAGCTAAGCAATGTTCCTCTTTTAAATGTTATGCCTCTTGGAGGAGATGAAAATATTGTAAACCCTGAGCATGTGCCATAATTATCATTTCTTTTATCCCAGCTCTGCCTTCGGAAGTGATTATTTGTGTTTCCATGCCTATGCATAGTGGAGGAGTTGGCATTTTCCTCTAATCGGCCAACACTCTTGCATCAGTCAGTTCCTTTGCATCTGCATGACAATCATCGATTTTGTATACTGTTCTTAAATATTTTCTTAAAGGCAGTGGGGATAATCGCATATTTTATTTCTATGATTCTAAATTATCCATATACATTTCATCATAACATACACCGTCACTGTATAACCACTCCCAAACATTGTATCAGCGAAAGTAAGGCGGGAAGTTGGATTATATGAAGAAGAATACTGCATTGGGATTGGAGGGAGGCTTATTAACAACCTTCAATATGCAGATGACATAACCTTGCTTGCTGAAAGTGAGGAGGACTTGAAACACTTGCTGATTAAGATTGAGAGTTGCAGCCTTCAGTTTGGATTAATGTAAAGAAGACCAGAACCCTCACAAATGGACCAGTAAGTAACATCATCATAAAGGGAGGAAAGACTGCAGTTGTCAAGGATTTCATCTGGCTTGGATCCACAATCAATGCTCATGGAAGCAGCGGTCAAGAGATCAAACTGCGTGTTGTATTGGGAAAATCTGCTGCTGCAAAAGATCGTTTTAGAGTGTTGAAAAGTGGGGAAGTTACTTTAAGGACTCAGGTAGGCCTGTCCCAAGTCAGGGTGTTTTCAAGTGCCTCCTGTTCATGGGAAAGTTGGGCTCTGAATAAGAAAGCCCTAAGAAGAGTTGATGTAGTTGCATTGTGGTGCCAGTGAAGAATATAGATAGTACCGTGGATTGCAGAAGGACAAACAAATCTGCCATGGAAGGAAGTGTGGCCAGAGTGCTCCTTAAAGGCAAGGATGGTGAGACTTCATCTCAAGGACTTGGGGCAGACATAGTCTCAGTAGACTCCAGTCCCCGAGGAATGACATCGTACTGGGAAAGTACAAGGACAGCAAGAAAAGAGGAAGCCCCGGGAGCAGGATTGACAGAGTGGTTGCCGTCCTGGGCTCCAGCATGGGGACAATTGAGAGATGACGTACGACCAGCAGTGCTTTGGTCAGTGGTGCTTAGGGTTGCGAGGGATGGAACTGCCTTGATGGCACCTACCAAGAGCACAAAGTTACGAATTTGATAGAAACAAGGACAGAAACTGAGTTTTCTGCAATCCTGGGACCAGATAGTTCTTTCTTCAGTTATATGATATAGAATGTAGTTAATGGACGCAACAATGAAAAATCTAGTCGTAGTATAGTAGAAAACCTAGTAGTAGAGTCTCAGAGAAAGATTTCTTTGTGAAATAGTGCTACTAAAAATAACAAAAATATAAATAAATGTATGTTTAGTATTCACAATGAAATAGGTGATTATGAAATGTAGATGAGATAGTTTATTATGCCAACCTGGCTGATACACACATTTGGGATTAATTGAAGGGCGGAGACATAAATGGCTCCGTGAGCCTCACCTCTCTTGTCTCTTGCTCTTTGATCATCGGACCAGTGGGTGGCTGCCTTAGTTTGTTCTGTGCCTCAATTTGCAAGCTACACTACCTGTGGGAAACCTAACCCATGGGCTGTGTCGCTG